GCATCGGTCGTATGAAACAAACAAAAGGGAACAATACATGTAAAGAACTATGGACAAACGCTCGTTGACTGCGAAAACATGTCGCACACTGCAAACAAGCGCGAGGCATGCAACACGACATACAATATCACGAAATCCAGGTCCAGCCAGCCACCTCACAGCCCCGGAGCGGGGCTGGTGTGGGGCATAGAAGGCCCGCGGCTGACGAAGTCCTCAGGAAACGCGCTGGCCCTCCGTGGCCCTCTGGCGGCCGCCGCGCGCTGTACACGACTCGCCACTTGAAACGCGTTGTGCTTCATCAGCTCGACGGAAAGAAGCTGGCTCCAATGGTTGACGATGCTCTCTCTAAAAGCTGTGTCCTCCTCCGTGGGAATGGATGTGGGGCGAGGCTTTCGCTTGGCGAGCATCTTGAGAAAGTCCATGGTCTTCTCTCCCCATCGGCCGAATGTCTCCGCAGCGAGAGGCACAAAGCGGAAGCCGGCTGCTTGGGCGGTTGGTCCATACTTGTCGATCTTGTCTTTCTCCGCAAGCTGAGCCGCCTTGCCACCAGGAAGCTCTGCGCCACGCCGGTTGACTGTTCGGTGGAAGGGAATGGGGGAGTTGTCAGGGCGGCAGGGGTGCACTTTACAATCCGCCTTCTCCCAAGGCCTGAGGGGGCGTTTTTCTCAAACAAAGAGAAGCTATGAACTAGCTCTTCCCTGCTTTGTGCTCATCCGTAAGTGCAAGGACATCGTCGATTGTGCGCATGCTGTTTGCAGACCTGTAGTTGGATAGCCTATGTGTATGTAGTGAATGATCCTCTCCGCACGCCTGTGCATACTTGCAGTTGTTCCTTCTCTGCATACGTCTGCGCACACCTATTGCCAGAGAGCAAGACGAACCACTTCCGAGATGAGCTGAGATGCGAGCTAGGCCGGGCCACGGGTTTGAGCTAGCACGTGGGTGAGAGGTGTATGAGTGTGTATGTATGCATGATGTTACTGCTGTCAGAATAGGTGGGAGAGAGACGGGGAGAATGGTGAAGAGAGGATCTGCCGGGCGGTCAGTCCTGGATAAAGGATTAAGTCAATGCAACGTAATGTCTGTGGATTTTGTGGAAAGTCCATGCATGTCATGTAGTATGCGTCAGTCCATCCTGTCTGACGTCCTGTCCGCCATGGCCTGTCTCATGGAACGGACAACAACGAAAGACTCACAACAGCCGTCCTGTCTCACAGATCAGTAGATCGTCGGTCTACGGTGAACCCTAGACCCTAAACCCTGGACCGACTTGGACTTCTGACACCCCCACTCAAGTCGGTACAGAGTTAGGACATGAATCTCCGTAAAACTATAAAACTATTCCGAGTAAGGGGCACCCACTGCCTGAGCACCCCGAGCCGCGAATTGGGCGGGGGTCGAAAAAAGCGTGCGAAGTGGTGGTTCAATTATGCGTCACAGAGACGTGCACAGCACGAGTGTTGGCGAGAAGCGCACCGACGCATGCAACAATGGCGAGAGTCTCAAAAACATGCAGACAACAATGGCGGGAGCTTGAAAAACATGCAGATCTCGAAGACAGATGTGGCGATAGCATGCAGGTACTCAGAGGGCTGCACCAAGAACACAAGACACCCAAACTGGCGCGTTTCGTGTGTTAACAGTCAGTTGATGCATCTTTTAAGAAGTTCGTGCCCAGAGATACCCTTGTTCGTTGACTTTCTCCGCGAAGCAGGCACGATCTTTGTCAAGCAGCAGCGGTTTCAGGCAGCACCCTAGACGGCCTGACGGCCAAGCTTCTTTCAATAACTTGCCGCTTTCGGGTACATCAGTTGACTGATCCAAACGTGACAAGAGAAACACGAAGCTTCTCGACATATTGACGTGTCTGTAGCAGTGCAAGCAAGACAACACCACTATCGATTTTCCTTTTCTCTTCCTTACGATCGTGATCGAACGTTTTGTCTGCCCGGACGCGTTGTTTCTTAAAGACGCAAATGGGCACTAGCCCAATTCGCGCAATTGGGCACTAGCCCAATTCGCGGATCACTGAACAAACTCCGCGCGTGAGGTCTTCGCCACCTTGAGATCTGCACATAGGAGCCCTTCGCAAGAAGAAAGATCAGAAAGAAACGCGTCCAAGGCCATCAGAGGGGCGCAAGGACAAGAGAAGCATAGTGAAGCCGCAGATCCAGATAGCGGACATCACCATCGGAGAGAAGCGAAGGAGTGCTCCAGTGCAACCTCAAGCAAGTGGCTAAAACCACACAAGCGAGATAAACACTTCATGACAAGTTCTGCCTGCCTGTTATCCTCTGACTCAGGTACTCGTGTGCCTCTCTGCCCAGCCCCTTAGTCAGTATGTCAGCGACATTCTCTGATGACGGTACGTAGCGCACAGACACAACGCCTGACTGAACCAGATCACGCAGATAGTGGTAGCGCACATCGATGTGTTTTGTTCTCTGGCTGACTATCGGGTTGTGTGAGCTCAGAATGGCACCTCCACTGTCAGCATGCAAGACTGCACTGCCAAATCGAATACCGAACAGCCTCACTTCCTTCAAAAAATCAGCCAGGTAGACGAGGGCAGTGGCACACTCACACATCTGCACATATTCTGCCTCGACAGAAGATAGAGTGACGATCGGCTGTGTTTTGGCACTCCACAAGACAGGGCCTCCACACAGGAAGACGACATGACCCCCACTGGACTTCCTATCCTCGCTATCTGCCCATGATGAATCAGAAAACGCGCACAGATCCAACACACTGCCTGACTGACAGCCATTGAACTCTATCCCTTTCTCCTTTGTAGCGCTCAGGTATCGCAATACACGCTTGGCTGCTGTCCAGTGGCTCGCTCCTGGGTTGTGGGCGTGCTTGGCCAGCTCCTTGACGGCGAATGCGATGTCAGGTCGGCATGTGACAGAGCAGAACATGAGAGATCCCACAAGCTGTCTATAGGGGATCTTGCTCATCTTCTTCTTCTCGTCCTCGGTTTGTGGCGCCATATCGCTGGTCAGTCGCACACCAGACGCACACGGGAATGGTGTTGGGTTGGCTTGGTCCATGTGGTACTTGCTGATCATCTTGTCGATGTATTGTGGCTGTGTGATAGTCAGGTGTCGTCGTGATCGGTCTCGAGTAATCTTGAGTGCCAGAAATACATCAGCCTCGCCCAAATCCTTCGTCGCGAAGACTGTCGACAGCTGCGACTTGAACCAGGTAACCCCCTCTTCGCGGCTGGCGATGAGGATATCGTCGACGAAGACACACAAGATGATTCCCTTGTTGTCGTGTAGGTACACACAGGGCTCCTTGGGATGGCGGCGGAAGCCGAGATGAAGTAGTTGGTTGTGGAGGGTGATGTTCCACGCACGCGGGGCCTCTTTGAGTCCATAAAGGGCCTTGCGGAGGCGGACAACATATCCCGGGCGCTCATAGCCAGGTGGGCACTCCATGAACACTGGCTTGTCGAGCGGCGCGTTGAGAAATGCTGTGTTGACGTCCATCTGATGAATCTCCAGGTCGAGTTGGTTGGCGATGGCCAGGACTGCTCGCACAACGTGGTAAGAAGGCGTCGGGGCGAACACATTCTCCACTTGGCTCTTGTCCTGTTCGAATCCGCGGGCGACGATGCGGGCCTTGTACTTATCAGGCTTGAGGGCGTATACCCATCGACAGGATATCGGCCGACTGGTCGCCTGAGAGCGGGGCACGTACTCGAACACACCCAGGTCAGTGACGGATTGCATCTCCCGATCCATCGCATCTTGCCAGTGACAGGCGTCGAATGCGCTCATTGCTTGCTGGTAGGTCTTGGGCACCTTGGATGCGAAGAGCTGTGGCATTGGTAGTGGTTGACGGGTCCCTTGTGGCGATGGTGGCCTCGCTAGCGCTGCCGGTACGTCGGTGTCGGCGATGAGGCTCGGCATCGCGTCGTCCACATCGTCAGCAATACAAAGGCGCTCGATGACGGCAAAGATGTTGTCCTCGTACAGCCACCGAGGGATCAGGCGGTCTCGACCTGATCTTCGGTGTTCGGCGTTGTCGTCATCTGCCCCCTCTTGCCCTCGAATGACTCGGTAGTTGTCAGCGGCATCTCCATCGGTATCAGCGGCGGCTTCTTCATCTTGGGCATCTTGAGCGGCCGGCGATACTGCTGGTGCTGCTGGCGGTCCTTCGAGCAGTGCAGAGCTGTCAGGCTCAGTGTCTTGATTGTGTTGGTCGACACGCTCATCTTCTTGATGCTCACAATGTCGGTCATCTTCGGGTTGCTGGTCGATCTGTTCGTCAGGTAGGACGGGCGTCTGGGGGTATACCAAATCAATCCCTAGTGGTTGTCTTGGCTGCTTTTCCTTCGCAGGAAACACGTGCTCGTCCACCTCGACGTCTCGTGAGATGACGAATTGACGATCATCAGGTAACCACACCACATAGCCATCCTTCGTGTTAGGGTCGAAGCCGACGAGGATGCCCAGCTTTGCCCGTGGCTCCAGCTTGCCCCTCTGGTCCTTTCGCTGATGCACATACGCTCTCGCGCCGAATGTGCGGATATGCTTGATGCATGGCGGGTAACCCCAGAAAAGCTCAAATGGCGTCTTCTCTGATGGATTGGTCTTGGTTGGCATTCGATTCTTGATGTAGGTGGCGGTCTTGGCAGCAAAACACCAATACGATGGCGGAAGGCCGGATTGGAAGAGTGCTGCACGGGTCAGCTGACACACCACACCAATCGTTCGTTCTGCCACGCCGTTTTGTGACTGATGATGCGGTAGGCTTTGTTCCTGGCGTATCTGGTGCTGCTCGCAGAATGCGTTCCATGTGCCGCCGATGAGTTCGGCTCCTCCATCGGTCCTCACTGCTTTGGGCATGCGGATGGCCGTGCAGTAGTGCATAAAAGCCTTCGGTGCGACGGACTTCTGCTTGAGAAAGTAGGCCTGCACATAGCGGCTGTGGTCGTCCACCATGACCATCAGGTACTTGAATCCTCTCTCGCTGAGTTGCTTGATCTGTGCCAGGTCGACGTGCACGAGATCACCAGGCGACGAATGACGGAATGCATTGCCCAGGTACGGACGAATCTTCATCTTCGCTTGGACACACACCTCGCACTTGTGCTGTTCTTCCTCATTCTTCTTGACTTTCTTGACGACAGGTGCATTGCGGCAGACCTCAGGAAGTCGGTCGACGGCTGCGTCGTGGTAGTGGAGGAAGCGCTG